GAACATTTCTTGATTCTTCTTTTAAATCTCCCTCTCCCCATTCCATTTCCTCAACCAATGTTCTGAGAAAAGATCAGTCTTCTCTTAATCTCGCCGATGTTTTGAAATCTTCAAAATCAAGCTATATGCTTAGGAAAATAGCAGTTATTTTGAAAGATAGTGGAGTTAAAAGTTACTAGAAAAGGTTAAGATTAAAATGGACCTTGAATGTCCTAACACAAAACTTGTTTTCAAGAATAATTAAATACATATGACAAGATCTAAAACAACTGTGACTTACTCTGTGTGGCCCTGGAAAACATTCACAGAATGGATTGAAGGGTCCCTGAAATCCCAAAGACGGAAAGTCGTGTCTCGAGATGATGTTACCACAAGTCGCTGGTTGGGATGTGTACAGCAATGAGTTAATTCTTGATCGTGTCCTAAAATTACACATTAAAAAAAGAGTAGTTCAAATAACAAAACTGCAAGATTATTTACCTGCTATACTTATACAACTGGAATGAAACTGTTTTTAAAAACAAATAAATATATGTACGTCTTCATGGGCTCCCCAGCTAAAATTCAATTTAAGAAGGGCATTAAAGAAAGAACTTGATGAATGTGGAGTTACAGTGGAAGAGGAACAGGTGGTACATCTGTGTATAATCCATTTTAAAATCCTAACAGAACGACAGATAAAATACTTCAGCAGTCTGAGTATATGAACAACTTAATTCTTTACTTCCAGAATAACCTCTAATAAGATAATGCTATAGAGCCCTCAGTAAAAGGTAATCCTTAAAACTTCGTTAGGAAATACATTTACTGATAAATTTGTAACAACTATGGCAGGAGGAAATCTAACTTGGCTCCTAAGATTCCACCTTCTGGTACACAGCTTGAATACTACCCTTCCCATGAATTTGGGTAGATTTTGTAAAACTGCGATATGGTCCTCATAATAAGGGTACATTATATGGCATGAGAATCTTTCTAATGTAACTTAAGAGAAAAGAAAGGGGGAAAAAACCCTCCCTGCTATCAAGTCAATTCTGACTCATAGGGACCCCATCAGTCAGGTTGTAACTACCCTTGAGGGTAGTTCTGGAGCAAACTATTTATAGGAGGACAAAGCCTCATCCTTCTCCCCAGGAGTGACCACTAGTTTCAAACTGCAAACCTTGTGGTTAGCAGCCCAACAAATAACCACCATGCCACCCGTATCCCCCGAATGCAACTAAGGTTAATTAATCAGTTGACTTTGAGTTAACCAAAAGAAAGATTATCCTGGGTTGAGCTCTTAAATGGAATCTGGCCTTGCCAAAAGTCAGAGACTAAAGAGCCACTCCTTTATCAGCTTAAAAGAAAGCAAACAATTGTGTTATGAAAAGCCTTCGGAGAATGATGTGAGAATCCTGAAGGAAATCTTAAAGTCCCTGGTCAACAGATAGCAAGAAAGCAGGAACCTCAACCATGAAGTTGCAGGAACTGAATTATGTCAACAGTTCATATGCCTGGTCAACACTCTGATTTCAGCCTGGTGAGATACCTGAGCAGAAAACCAGCAACGCTGGTTTCTAACTCATGGACATAATAAAAAATGTGTATTATTTCATACCACTGAATTTATGGCAATTGTTACAAAGTAATAGAAAGCTAATGCAATGACTATTTCAAATACCTTAAATGTCATATGCTGCAAGTAAATCCCCTAGAGATAAAACAAATTTTGATACCAACAGTTATCTGAAAATAACAGGAGAGTCAGAGGTATAGAAATCATTTTGGCCAATAAAAAATTTGTAGTATTAACAAATCAACATTAATCAAGTAGAAAATGTGTTTAAAGTACCAGTCAGAGAATGAACAAGTTCAGATGTCTCCACGTCATAGAGATTCGCTGTCCTGTCCCAGGAGGCTGTCACTGCCTGCTTTCCTCCAACCAACCAATCAGCTGCTATGACCACTCCTTGGTGGCTCTTAAGAGATGTCAGGGGAACTCGAATGGTAGGGCAATCACTGGACACGTCTCCATCTGCATCAGCTTCATCTTTATCAGAAAACTCTACTTCATCTTCTCCAGATATCTGCTGCTAAATATAAGGTCAAAAGAGAAAGAAACTTCCTGGGGATCTCAGGTACTATTCTAGAATCGGCTGCATAATCACACTGCTCTTACTTTTCCATCCAGGGTTGCTTCATCGTTATGACCAATACTGACACCATTATTGGAACATAACTGATTACCCCACCCACCCCAGGGGGACAAACCACACAAAAGTGGGTGAAGGAAGACAGCGGACAATATAAGATATGAAAATAATAATAATTTATAATTTACCAAGGGGTTCATGAGGGAGGGAAAAAATGAGCTGATACCACAGGCTCAAGTAGAAAGAAAAATATATTTTGAAAATGATGATGGCAACAAATGTACAAAAGTGCTTGACACGATGGATGGATGGATGGATGGATGGATGGATGGATGGATGGATG